TCGTTTCTATAATGTACGTCGATGGTTGCTTAATTAAAACTGACTTCTTCGCACTCACTCATTTGTGTCCTTTTTTGTGGTGAGCTACAGCTAGTGTCATTGACACTTTTATTTTGTGTTTCTACATGCAAAAATACCTCGAAATTTTATATACTATAATAACTACACAGTTATTATATTATATACCGTTAGGAAAACGGTAAACAAACCTTGTTTCGATCTACGCCTTCTAGTTTATCTTCTAGTTTTACGAATTTACCTTGAGTCTCAAAACTCCTAATTTCACGTTCGAATCAACAGTAAAGCAAATTGTATATTCTTTAGTTTATGTAAGGCTGGGGTAATATAGACTGCCCCTGTTTAATTTCTTGGTAGGTAGTGCCTGCCATCTGTTGGAGTAACAAAATCCAATAATCTATCCACGAGCTGACTCGTGGATCCGAGGGGATGCGTTTTGATTGTTCCCACGAGCTGACTCGTGGATCCGAGGGGATGCGTTTTGATTGTTCCCACGAGCTGACTCGTGGATCCGCGGGGAACGTGTTAATATATGTTCAGGGAAATTTGGTTTTACAAGCTCTGTGGCATTTATCATGCAAGGCCACCCAGCTAGACAAAAACAGTTGACTAGCCTTTGCGCAGGACCTCGGAATCAATATAGTAACCCAGTGTAATTAACGTACATTTCATAGTCTCAAGTTTACAAACATGTTCATTAAAAAAATTTCCACCATTGTGTGGCGAGATAGGAGTCGTTAGTGCCTGGAGTGAGGCTGCACGAGTTGCTGCGATTTTGATGATGAATATTATGATTGGTCGCTTGTCGCTGCAGTATGTTTTAACCTGTCCAGGGAAAAGCAAAATTGATAATAATTAAGACTAGATAATTTCAAGGAAGACATAGTTATAATATTTTTATAGTTATTAACTTATTATAATATATTACAATATAGTATATATATGCAATAATTATATAAGGAAGTTGCCTACATCATCCTGGCATTATTTTATCCAGAATGCTCCAGGATCACCCTCAATGGGCTTATCACTTGTGAAATGTATTTCTCATTGCAGAATGGATACAGATGATGACAATTTCATTACACTGGAAGAGCTGGAGACCTGGATAAAGGACAAAGTAGAGGAGCATATGGATGAAGCAGTCGAACAAAACAATGAAATATTCCTGGCTATTGATTCTGATAAGGATGGTATAATGTACACTCTGAATAATATTTTAATTTTCTGTTTCAGTTATTAATATAGTAGTACTAGTATATAGTAGTTACAATAGCAGAAGCTGGTTCTTCTGAACATGGCCTTTGCTATTCATTTATGTTTTTTGTCAATTAAATTATATCCAAGACACAAAGCACACATGTATATATGGTTACCAAATTCTTATCACTTTTTGAACTTGGTTATTTGTTCTGGTCATACGGCACATTTTTATATTCAGGTGCGTTGACATGGTCAGAATATCACCAGCACTTCCTCGTTCATAAAGGAGGTGTGAATGAGAAATATGCCAAGCTTCACCAACAGATTCATAATGGCAAGCAAGAGCACAATGATGACCTTGACTACAAATGTAAGATGGCATATGAACAAACGTAATTTCTGTCACAGCAAGCGAGAGAGGTTTTAATAATTCTCCCTACTCGTGAATTTCATTTTATGCTGCAATCAATATAATAGTTGTTTGACAAATGTTGCTTCAGAAACCAGCTTGTATCTAGCTCCTTAGAATTCTATATCCATTCCGGAAATTTGCTGACGATTTTACACTAGGGTCACAATACGATACATATCTCGATACGTAGGTCACGATACGATATGTAGGTCACGATACGATACGTATTGTGATACACAGACAGAAACAGTGTCGACATAAATGGTCGAATTCTAATATTATTTAACTGTTATAATAATCATATGTATTCCAATACTTTCATAACACACACGTGTTATGAGTATGTTAAAGCCATGATCATATATATAGTAACAATATATATATATATATATATATATATATATATATATATATATATATATATATATTAATATGCCTGAAACACACACAGGTGTTTTGAGTGTGCTCGAGACTGTCCTGTAGTCGACAGCTCCATTCATGTCCGTGCCATACAAAGTGCTACAGTATGTGTGCAATAACGATACGCACCAGTCAGTCGGCACTCATGATTGTTTTGCAGTAACAATTTTGGTGGCAATACAAGCGCGCCACATATATTGACCCAGATTTCTATGACACTGACAGCCAAGGATATTTAATTGATACCAAGAGTAGATAATAACACAAGAGTGTGACACCGATTCCCGCATTTTTAACCAATTTTTCTCATCAAAATTTGCCACCAATAAAGAAGCAAGTGTATACCTTCCTCAGCTTATTATGACCACTAATCACTCACCTTCGTGGTACTGATATTCATTTACATATATTTGCTAGCGTATTGCTGTAAATCGTAATCTTGCACGAGCTGAATTCGCACAATTTACCGCTATTGTGTGAGGTGTTAAGACAAAATTTGAAGCTATAGTGGCACCAATATTTAGGCGGACTGTTTCCAAATCATTCGTGCCCCGATAGGGTTGAGAGACAATCTAAATTTCGAATTTTGATCTCGTGAGGAACCGCGAGACGCGCTCAGTTATTGTGATCGCAACACAAGAAATTGACATACTATCTTACATAAGTAATAATACAATAATAACAATATTCTCTGTAGTAGTTTGCAGTAAGTATCACATTACGCACGCGCAGGTAATCGAGTACATTAAACCCCTATCTGGGGGACGAATGATTTGGAAACAGTCCGTTGCTATAAATATTGGCGCCACTATAGCTTCAAATTTTGTCTTACCACCTCATACAATAGCGGTAAATTGTGCGAATTCAGCTCGTGCAAGATTACGATTTACAGCAATACGCTAGCAAATATATGTAAACGAATATCAGTACCACGAAAGTGAGTGATTAGTGGTCATAATAAGCTGAGGAACGTATACACTTGCTTCCTTATTGGTGGCAAATTTTGATGAGAAAAATCGGTTAAAAATGCGGGAATCGGGTGTCTCACTCTTGTGTTATTATCTACTCTTGGTGATACTGAGAGAGAGAGTTCATAAAATGAAAGAAAAATTCAATTTAAAAGGAATTACATGTGCTTTATTAAATTGTTTAGCTTGTCTGATTCGCTGTTTAACATCCCTATCGTTTGGTACGGATGCTGCGTATCGATTATCGTATCATGGCCCCACTCACTGTATCGCGATTCACCGATGTATCGGTGAACGTTACACCCCTAGCTGTAATCATCTTTACTCACCGCAGATCGGGACGAGATCTCACAGGACAATTTCCGCTGGACGGAGGCAGATGAGGATCATGACAAAAAGCTCAGCAGCCATGAATTTCTCGGATTTCGACATCCAGAGCATAGCAAGGTGATGCTGGAGAGTATGGTGAGGGACATCCTCGCTTCGCTAGGTGCGTGCCTACACTCGAATATGTAGAACAGAGAATATAGCATGCCAGTATGTCTTACTATGTATGACCATGTTACTCAGAGGATTGAGTAACAGTGATTTCACAGAGTTATTTCAAAGTAATGAGACATTAAGTTTAGTCCTTTTTGTGCTATCACGTTTCTTGGCGACATCGGGTGTGGATGTCTATAACTGGACCATTTTTAAAGCCATTATTCTGTAAATCAGACTCGAATAAAGATGGTCAACTGACGGCAGAGGAGTTTGCGATGCTGCCACCTGGCGAGGTGGATGAGAAATGGCAGGAGCAGGATCGGGCTTTCCAGCAAGAGAGGGAGAAGGAGTTTCATGAACACATTGACATAGACCACAACGGTGTGGCATCATTCGATGAGTTGATGGTAAGTAACACGTACAGACGTGCTGCAATTCATGGATACCCTCAGCAGATATATATCTGCGCATATAATGTATAACTCATTAACTGTTACGGTGTTCAACTATTTTTATGATGGATAACCATTATTATGGTGTACAGCTGTAATAAGGTGTATAACTATTACCATGTGTAACCATGAACGTGATGTATAACTATTATAGTGTATAGCTATTAAGTGTGTGCGTGCTTGTTTTGACCCGACAGGCATACACGGACCCGCGCAACTCACTGCACGCGAAGAACGAGGCATTCAACCTACTACAGTTTGCCGACCGCGACCACGACGGCCGACTCTCACTCGCCGAGATGCTAGACATGCGAGACCTGTTCCTTGGATCCAACGTGGCCAACCCCGCCCAGTCGTTCCATGACGAATTCTAAATCGGGGGCGTTTGTCCAGCCGGCTCCCTCCGACTGTCGTGATCATTTCATACCGATCTTCCCAAACAAATGCAAACCTTCCTCGTACGGGTCACCTATCAATCGTGACCTATCAACACGCATAGTCACTAGCAGTGAGTGCTGATTGGCCGATTTCACGTGCCGCCATATTGGATCTGCTTGGTTCCACCTAATAAGCAGGATCAGTTTGATTGATGGATTCACTGTCATAGGGCAGTGACCCAAACAAATAAGCAGTCAGATAACGAAGATAGCAGCCAGTTTATTAGTTGCAATTAGGGTTGCACAGCAACATAATCCAGAAAGTAGAGCTCTGTAATGATTAACAGATTAGTGTATAGGGTTATCAGCCAGGCAGCTATGCAGCACAAAACCTACTTACACGTTAGAAGCAGAAGAAATCGTCAGTTTGTTGATGCTAAAAATTACAACATTTGTATCGCAAAATTTTGGGCAGAAATTATATTTTGGAGTGATTTGGTGCTGGATATTCAAATATTTATTAGTAAACTAATCTGTGAATAAGGATTATTTTGGTGTAATTTATGGGTTAGTGGACTCGCATGCGAAAACCGTTATAGTAACGATACTATGACGTGATGCTAGCTTACAGTGCTATCTACTGGCTGCTCCCTCATGGCAAATATGCTAGGTACATTTGTAGCTCTGTTTGAGCCTGTAGGTGTTGCAGTGTTACTTATGTAGGTTTCATAGTCTTTAATTATCATGCAATGATATTCATTGTATTCTGTGATTCATGTCTTTTCACTCCGATTGGTTCTATCGTTGTACGTGTTAAGATGTATAGTACACGTGCGCTGAAGAACGGGAAATGGCAACTTCAGTTACTGTTGCAAATGCTGGTATATGTATGGCTTGCATAATTTTCTAACTTTGTACATCACCACGAAGCTGTTTATTGAACAGACTTTTTATGATTGTGTGTATCATGTTTTTTTCCAAATTTTTTGAAAAGCATGTAGCTTGTAGAATCGCATGATTGTCCGTGCGTCCGTACGTGTGTCCGTCAACAGTTGGGTACAAATCTTACGTACGGTCTCGACGTACGGTCTTGATATTCGGGATGTCGGGGGGGGGGGGGAGATCGCGAAAAGGATTCGGGATGTCGAATTTGGGGGTCAATGGCCAAAGGTCAAGATGTGTCAATGGAGGGGGAATATTTCCCCCTTAACTTAAGATATAGGCGGAAATACGGAATTGCGGCACAAATCTCAATGGCTTGACCTACGCTCTTAATGTTCGATGTATAGTGTGATGGGGAGGAAACCCATCACCAGCGCGAAATTGGAGGTCACAGGTCAAAGGGCAGTGGGGGAAAGGTCAGATATCAGACATTTTCTGAGGACATGGACTAATGGACCGATTTTTCTGTAGTAATTGTAGTCCTCATGCACATTTTCTTATGTATACGCATAATTGTAGACAACCGGTCTACACGGTGATGTTAGCCAACACACAGATAACTTCTGTCAGCCTTTTAGCATAATGGACTTGTATTATTAAAGTTTTAAGCACTCTCAACACATGACTAGACTTTGGTACAATATTACTGCACAATACAACAAGAATCTTATTGACATAACTAAATTCGTCATCAGGTGAAGGGAGAGTTCCTTGGTCTGTTCTTTAGAAAACAGCCGACAAAGAGGGTTCATCAGAAAAATTAATCGTATATGTGACAGTGTCGCATAGAAAATAACTTGCTATAAATTTCATGCAAATGAAATATATACAAAAAACAGTCATAACTGTATGACTAATATAGTGTGTATAGCAGTATGATCACTACTAATAACACAATTAATAACGCGTGATGTGAATTTCAAGCAACATCAACCTACGAGAACCGTGCCACCAGCTGTCAGCCCATGTCAAGCTGAAGTACAGTATACAAATGGGCAAGATTGATCCATATGACTGCAAACTATTACAAATACCTGGATTTGCGATGCCAGATGTGCAGTAAATGTGTGTAAACGAGTAAGTGCAAACGAGCACAGTTAGGAAGAGTTTAACATTGGGGCACAGTCTCCTACTTCTAGGGTTCAAATAAAGTAGTCTGACGACCTCGTTCTATATGACCAACAGGTATATAGAGTTACACAACAGCATTACTGTTGTGGATAATGTAGCATTGGGCTGCCTTTTTCGAACAACGACAGCGGTAAACACAAGTACAATCATGGCATGAGTGAAGAAGTTAATACTGTAGTAATTATTATTCATAATCTCACAACGTCGCTTAAAAACAAACAAATTACATGATGCTCGTCATTACAGCATGTTTGTGCAGTTCGCTAGTGTGTTGATAAGCATTTTGCCTGGAGTCAATCATCACGTGAGGTCTGGCACATTATAAATAATCATAAATAATCATGAGGCTGCCTGCTAATGATAACGACGACTGATCTCTCAGCGCCAGATGACGAACCGCACATCGAGAGTATGTACACGCGCAGGACAATCCAATTGTTCGCACATGGGAGAACGACTTTGCAGGTCGAACAAGCATGAAGGATCAATTCATGATGGGCCAGTACTCGACAGGGTAGCGCACGACGGAGCCCTCAAACAGCCTGTCCAGCCAGTTGGAGAGTCCTGTAAGTGGATCATTGTGAACCTGATCAGAGACCAGATCCGCCTCGCTATCACTCGATGTGTCGTCCATCCCGATAAACTTGCCATTGAGCTGTGCTTCGTTGGGCTGCTGCTGCTGCTGCTGCTTCTGCTGCTTGGTGGGCTTGCCCTTTTTCAAACCTGGATAAAGTAATAGCCGTATGTATGCATTACATATACCTACACATTAAATGCACTACTGAACGCTACGTTCACCTTGTGGGGTGATTGCTTAAATTTCGATAAAGGTGATCGAGAAACCTCAGCAAGAAAAAAGATGCTCTACATTTTGTAATGAAGCTATAAAGCAAGTAGCATCCTTGCTGTAGCATGCATTGATGCAGTTCTACAACCAATCCATTTAGCGTTAATCAGAACTGTAAATGAAACGTGTGAAGAAAAAATATCAAGAGCGTATAAAGAAGGAGAGCGTACAACGGTGAAATGCTAAAACCATGTTGCAGTATTAGTCAAATTAATAAACTTTCCCCGTTTTATTTTGACGATTCTTTGTAGTATTATTGATCAGCTGTCCTACCTTGTTTATATAAAACAAACCGCATGTCCCTACGATGCCCCTACGCTGAGATAATGAGCGGTGAAAATCACCGAAAAACGGTATTTTCCCGAAAACCGACTCGAGATTACTGTTTACTGTGACTGTCTCTCGCTTTGAGATAACATCGGGAAACCTCACGTGTTTCCGTCAATGATTGACAAATGGAATGAATGACGTCTGTTATTGATTGCCATACTGATGACCCCCACCTGTGCCCACCTCATGCTGGATGTATAGTAAACTCTGTAGTACTGACGTGAGTCAGCGCTACCATGGCGCTACACAACGGCGACCGGAAGCAATACACTGGCCACAAAGCAAGAGACAGTAAATCGAGTCGATTTTCACCGCTCATTATCTCAGCGTAGGCCGCATCGTAGGGACATGCGGTTTGTTTTATATTAACAAGGTAGGACAGCTGATCAATAATACTGGGAACAAAATAAAACGGGGAAAGTTTCTTAATTTGACTAATACTGCAACATGGTTTCAGCATTTCACCGTTGTACGCTCTCCTTCTTTATATGCTCTTGGAAATATCTATCTACCTATATCTACTAAACACTTGCATCTGAATGCCTGCATAAAACTTTTATTTCCATTCCACTGAAAACCTAACAGACATACACCTGTTGATAGTAAATCGTCTGATTGTACATCGTAAATGCAAGCCATGTTTAGATAGACAGTTTTGTAGACTAGTAACACAGTAGAAGCCAATACCCTCCTTCTCTTCCCTCCTCTCAATGTAACCAACTCCATACCACCTCCCCTGCACACGACATGTTATCAGAAGTAGATACTAGGGAAGGAGTGTGACTTCAATAAACAAGGGAAATTCGTCATTTACTAGCCTTAGAATACCTACGATTTACTACGCGTAACTCAACCAACTTGAGCTCAAATCGTACACAGTACATTCGCCTAGCATCGTGTGAAATCGTTTCCTCGTATACACCCGCAATCCGGAGATACAGACTAAAACGTACGACACGATTCTCCATTCTGTTGGCAGCAGATCGACTCCATAACCCACCTAACTTGAAACAATAGGCAGCTACTAACGACTCTTGTGCACTCTTGCGCCCTCGGCGATGTGGTGTGGCTCGCTGGGAGATTGGACATCGACGCAACACTCGGCGAGCTAATCTTTGAGCTATTTACAGCTGGTATGCCCCCCACGCACGCACGCCCACTGCAATCAGCAGCAGCTCCCGCTCCAATCTCCCAGCGAGCCACACCGCATCGCCGAGAGCGCAAGAGTCGTTATTAGCTGCCTATTGTTTCAAGTTAGGCGGGTTATGGGGTCGATCTGCTGCCAACAGAATGGAGAATCGTGTCGTACGTTTTAGTCTGTATCTCCGGATTGCGGGTGTATACGAGGAAACGATTTCGCACAATGTTAGGCGAATGTACTGTGTACGATTTGAGCTCAAGTTGGTTGAGTTACGCGTAGTAAATCGTAGGTATTCTAAGTCACACTCCTTCCCTATTATCTACTTCTGATGTTATGTTATGTTCTCATACTTGTCGGTGTCCACTGACATAACCGACCCTGTCTCTCCCTTGTGCAAGACAGTAAGTAATTGACCCATTCATCAGAGTAAAATATCCCCCACGCCTAGATATTGTTGCTCGGTTGGTCAAGCTAGCTCAGTTTACTCATGTTTTACATGTGTGCCAGCCAAATTCTTGACTTTACGATGCACTGTTACCAAGCAGTGTTTTTAGCTCATCTGACATAGTCAGTGAGGGAGGATCATCAAAACGAGTTGGGATGTCGAAGCTGGGGGTCAAAGGTCAAAGGTCAAGAGGTGTAAAAGAAGGGGGAACATTCCTCCTTACTTAAGGTATAGTGGAGGAAATGCAGAATTGGCGGCACAAATCTAAACGGCTCGACCTAAGGCTCGTGATAGTCGGTGTATAGGCATCATGGTAAGAAAACCATCACTGTGCCGAAAATTGGTGGTCACAGGTCAAAGTTCAATGGGCATAGGCAGATTTTAGACATTTTTTGAGGACATGGTCTGACGGACGCGATTGGAAAACTTTTTTGTTTCAGCAGATGACCAAGCATTTTTATGGCTTTATTGAAAAAACCATGAAATGTACTTTCTGCGACGATTGCGAAGATTAAGTGTCGGATAGCCTTTTGACCCTCAAGATGGCGGGTTAAACATGGATAAATTTGTTTACTGTAGAAAGAATTGACTGGCCGGGTTTGCTAGTAGAATCTATACATACCTGGATGTATGAGGCTACAATGTCACAGTGAAATTTCAAAAAGCTAAATTTGGTTGAAGAAGGTTTATGCTCTTAAATCCTATAATTTCTATTGCATTCTGTACTGTCAGTGTGTTACATGTAAAGTATGCCACTGCCAGTGGCCACTGCCAGCCGTGGTGGTGGACTGTGTAGTTTTTTTGCCTGCATTAATTAGTTTACAGGTGGCAGCTCTCTATTCAAGCCTGAGGCTTGCGTAGGTAAGATGGATGAGTGCTTACCTATTCGTCTTGCAAATAGTTTGTTGCTACTACGTACGATGGGGAGCTTCCATCTTTAATAACTGAACACTGTAACGTTACGCAGCCACTCGTGGAAACTTTCATAACGATCCCAACGAACATTCCTTTGAGAAGGTTCCTGATACCATCCCTGTGCCTTCCACTGTTTCGGCGTGTATGTGAACACATTTGAGACTAACAGGGTTTACTAGAATCCCACCACTCTACCACAGAGTCACTGCAGTAGATGTTAGATGAGCGCTGTCGCTACGCAGCACTTGTTAGAATACCCTTATCACAGCTATGACTGGCTAGACCTACCTGCCAATCACACTAGGCAGGTAGGTCAATTAACAGCAGATGGTTCATTGTTCATACCTGGATGCTTGGGGTGGTATATGCAGTAGTACTTGCGATGGCCGTTGAGCGACAGCACTGTGCCAAGGCAGTTCTTTGGGTTGATGTTTAGCGGTCGCACACTCCCTATCGGGCCCAAGGTCTGCAGCAGCAGACGACGATACCAGTCTGTCTGCGTTTCCAGTTGGACATATGCGAACGCGAGACTTTTATTGCTGCAAGTTGAACAAAAACCACGATTGACGAAAATTTATTTATTGATGTAATCCATTATTCACGATCGCGACGCAATTTAACGTTACATTGAATAGAAGCCAGTGCGCAAAACAGATTCCTCTACTTATCACATTCATTAGAGTTGAATAAGCGATTAACTACAACAAATCTGTTTCTCGTTCTGGTTCTTCACGTTCCACAAGCATCGGTTCTTCTGTGCCTGACGAGGGATGTCAACGTACCAGCGATACGGGTAGATCGTCTGCACAAATCGCTCCAGCAGATGCTGCTTGATCTCGTCGTTAACGAAGATGATGATGGTGCGGCATCCCGGCTTCAGCAGCCGTACCAATCCGTCGTACGTGCCGCCGTGCAGCTCGTACAGTGACACCGCCTTAGGTCTGCAATGTCACATCACACAACGTCACGCATCGACATGCAACACTGTCACGCGACGTTGCATTCGCAATGTAACGTCACGCAACGTAATGCATCGACATGCAACACTGTCACGCGACGTTGCATTCGCAATGTAACGTCACGCAACGTAATGCATCGACATGCAACACTGTCACGCGACGTCGCACTTTACAACGTCACGTCACGCATCGACATGCAACACTGTCACGCGACGTCACACTTCGCCTTCGTGCAACTTCGTTCATTCATCACATAACATTATCACGCAAGGTCACGCGTCAACAGGCAGTACTGTCACACAACGTCACTCATCAACACATAACACTGTCGCATAATGTCACGTCTCAATATGTAAAACAGTGTCATGAAATGTCGCATGTTAAGGTATGATATTTTCATCTAGTGATGTCATTAATAAATGCACAGGCAGGATCTCACCTGATTGGTGCAACTCATTTATAAAGGTGTCACCATTTAATATCTTCAACGCGTATAGTGCTTACATGATTACATAACCACGGCAATAGCTACATGTAATACTGCTTCAGTAACTTTTATAACAAACAACCTAAATGGTGGAGAGTCTCAGACAGAGACGATATTGGGAAATATGCGGTGTACGAGAGGAAGCCTATAAGCCTACTAGAAACTACTGAAGCCAAACTCACAGCTTCTCGAGATCCTTCTTCTTGCGAAGCTCATTGCGCTCCTCTTTTGTTCGACTCACGTTCTCTTCCTCTAGATTCCTGCAGCAGAGAAACATCGCTGTCAGTGAGGTTACGGCTAACTGACAAACGTCCAGACAGTGATATAACGAATCACTTAAATAGGGTTATTGAGTTACACTGACACCTGCATACAAGGGTCTTGTTACTCAGAGGAAGTGCTAGAAGTGTTCTTTATAGACAGGTGTCCAGTCTATGAAGGAGGGTTCACTGTATAACTGTCACCTAAGGGGGATGACGAACGTCTTCTTTATAGATACGTGTTCATTCTATAGAGGTGTCCGCTAACACAGGTTTCACTAAACTTGACATAAACCAATCAGTTTCTTGGGGAGCATAGGTCATCAACAAGAACTTATTACTTTCGCTATTTAGGAATAAAAACATCAGATATCACATTAACTAAAAAGCAATAGCATGCCATTGAATGCAATAGTCTCTGCAATTTCTGTCATCTGTAACATCAAGCTACCGAATCAAGAGAGGTACGTACACAAGGTATGCCATCACATATCCACCGACCAAGATGAAGGCGATTGATATGATGATGGAGAACAGTGGTAGAAATTCATCTCTCGTGATGTCCCACACGATGTACTCGTATAGGGAGAGGCACCTGCTCACAATCCTGCCGACCACGCCTGCAACAAAACACCCGCTGCATAGTTATGTGTCCAGCAGCGCCATCTGCAGGTACAGACAGCCAACTAACATTGCTATCCTGCTGACCATGCATGTAATGACACAGCACGCAATACAGTCGCACGTTTATCAGCGCCATCTACAGGTACTAATGGCAAACTAACCTCACTGATCTATAGAAGCTCACATAATTGTGGCAAAGACCAGAGACAGGACCGAACTTGTTTCTAAGGTAATAGTGATGGAATTCTAATAACTGTTTCAGTAGTAACAGCAATGGTGGAGTAAATGCTAACACTTGTTTCTAAGGGTAACAGTGACAGTTTAGCGGAATCCAACACGGGCTTCTATGCTGACGGCGAGAATGGAGCGAGATCTAACAGTGGTTACCACGGTAACGCGGTGATGGAGACTTACTCTTCGCATGTTCGTCTATGAGGTTCTTCAGCATGGCTTCGCGCGTGAGCTCGCAGCCACCACCTAGAAACGAGCGGATCGCCGTGTCGAGGTGCTCCTGCGATCGGAACTCCGGGTCCGCGCTCCAACCGCTCTCCACCCACCTGCACATGCGCAGCTGCCCGTATTAGTAATTTACCCACCATTAGACACCACATCCCTCCCACGCACACACACGCGTACAGAGAGCACAGAGTACAGGAACCACGGCTAGATACGTAAGCACAGGTATGATTACAGTTAAGGAGAGTGCACAGTGCCAACCGCTCAAACTTTAACCATCACAGTATCAACTATCATTATAAGAACGGTGGTCTAGATGCATGCTCCATCATCAATGGCTCTAAACATATTGTGTCGGTATCTTAAAAGTTACGACTATCATAAGTCTAGAATGTCATACAGGGTTCTCACTAGGAATTTTGGAAGGCATTCCAGGCAATCAGGTTTATCTATTCATTCCTGATTTTGTTGTAATGGGTTTATCTATGTCGTAAGCCACTCCAATACACAGATAAACCCAATCAGTTCGGAGACATATTCATCAAGCTGTCAAAACTGTGTTAGGAATGAGATTTAAAGGAGTAAAGTCTTAAGTAAACACAGCTGGAGATTAAGGCATGTCGATTATGCAATTAAGACACATTGGAGGATTTATAAGTTGTCACAAATTAACTTCAACTTCGAAAGCATATCGGACCCAACATGCATTAGAGGACTGGGGTGAACCCTGTCATAATATTTGCATATTTTATGTACATACACAGCGTATAACGTCCTTGGACTTGCGATAGTTTTGGCAACTTTTACGACAGTTACAGAAAACGAACACGATTTTCTTCAACGCGCGTTGCTGGCGTAAACTCTCGAAACCTCTACTCACTCGTACTTGACCTTGTCCTCCGACGGACGCCACATGATGACGACGCTGGCCACAGAATCGTTGAGCCGGTCGTCCTCCTGCAGCAGCGAGCCGACAAACTCCGGCTGCGCCTCGCGGTAGACGTACGCGAACCGCACGTGCTCTCCCGCCGCGCCCCCGCCGCGCGCCACGTAGCGGCGCAGCGCGGCGCGGTGAGCGAGGTCGTCTGCGCAGCGGCTCACGAGCAGCACGATGCAGACGCGGCGGCGCGTGCACGACGCCTCGACGGGGCACAGCGCGTCGAGGTGGCGCGGCGACGACAGCCGCGGCAGCACGAGCAGCTTGTTGGCGTCGACGAACTCGCGCATGGACGCCGTCGGGATGTCGAGCATGGACAGAGATGCCGCCGGCCGATCGTCGTCCTCCTTGAATATGAGGATCGTCTCTCCGTCGCGCGGCACGCCGTAGCGCGCGCAAGCCGCCTCCGTCTCGGCGCGGTACGCGACGCCGTACATGAAGCGCGCGTAGTCGCGGAAGAGGAAGGCGACGGTGAGGTAGCGCAGCTTCGGCTTGTCGTGGCGACCGAAGTAGACGACGCGCACCTTGTTCTCCTCGCCGCCGTCCAGGAAGCTGTCCAGGTAGTGCTGCTTACGTAGCAGCGTCACCAGCTGCAAGAGACGTCGCCTGTCAGCACTGAGAGCAGCAGAAATTAACGCGGTCGTCTACGAGGGCCCGTGTAGCAGCGTACCACTTGCAAGAAATGCGTTTTTTATCAGCTTCGAGATTGAAAGAAATTTACTTGATTGTCTACGACTACGCCGATGTACCAGTGTCACCACTAGCAAGAAACTTGTAATATATCAGCTTCGAGATTGAAAGAAATTAACTTGATCGTCTACGACTACGCCGATGTAGCAGCGTCATGACCCGTGCCGGAATACCAATGACAGCTCTATTATGACAAATCCTAACAAGCATACACGATTCTTTAAAAGTTAGTATTAATAGGTAGACAAATTATTTCCCTATAGTATAATGTTACAGCCCACAGTGATAGGCATTGACGGCAATGTAGGTGGAGGGTGATTGAAGCAAGGTAATAAATGACGGTGAATTAATTACATCATAGGTGTGAGGATCAGGAGGTTCTGTAAGTGTAAGTGGCCAATTTAGGGTAAAAATGAATTGGAAACCATGGACCTAATGAATAGAGTAGTGAGTGAAAGCAAAACAAACAGGCAGGTAAGAGTGTGATGTATGACTCCGATCGCCTCACCACTGTACGAATATGACCTTTCCATCATGCACATATATATGCATAAAGCTATATATATATAAGGGGTAGAAATTAGTTTGAAAATGTACACGCCCGCCGGGCTTGTAGGTAAGCGATTTTACAGGCCCGCCAGGCAAATTAAAGGCCTGCATCATTCCCTGGATACTGCAACTTTTTTTTTAAATAAAAGACTGAAATTTGAAATTTTTACAATGGTTTACATTCGTATGCACAAATAGGCATTTAGGTACGTCTCCATCATCATCATACACGCGCACGCGTTCACACACACCCACACTGATCATTTACTGTGTGGATCATACGTCTTGAATGATAAAGCTAATGTTTGGGACATATAGGGCAGAGAAAAACAACGTTCCGTAGGGCCGGTTAGTTGATTTCATGGCAAGAGCAAATAAAAAGGTTGAGTAATATAAACATCTAAGGAACCAGCCAAATCAGGCAAAGATAGGGTTGAGTTTTTCCTGGCAGACATGAAAGTTGAACACACACACCCCCACCTCACCTCACCTCACCTACACTCACATCACCTCACACGCACACACACCCATATACTCACCTCATCTTGAGTTTGTGGCTTGTTGGATATGGCATTAACTGTTTTAGTCACAGCTTGCCATGTCTTTTTATTAACTACAGCTGCCAGTTGCCAGCAAAACTTCCAAACAGTCCTCTTTCTCTGTACCACTTCATAAATTATGAAGTCAATTTCCTCTGCGGAAATATTCCTATTCTTCCGCCTCTTTTACAGTTGCCATGTATATTTTAAATAACTTTGCTCTCACCACAATCCGAGATACCGAGCCTTAAAATACGGGCATCGGGCCCGTTATGATTTCGAACCCTGTATATACATATATTTGCACAGATATGCATCCATAAAGCTACAATTTCGATTAGATTTTAGCAGAAATTTCGACGCGTGATCGCCTCTCACCTCGTACGGGAACGACGTTCGCACGAATCCGACGATGGAGGAGAACTTCTCGACGCCGTCCTTGTGGTGGAAGACGCGGCCGTCGATGACGATCGCGATCTCGGGCACGCTGTGGATGCGCACTCGCCGCGCGAGCTCAGGCTGCAGCTGTGTGTGCACCGTCGCATAGCCGATACCTGCACACGGGAGCGCCGCTTACTAACGTCACGCACACGGGAGCGCCGCTTACTAACGTCACGCACACACGCACGCACGCATGCACACACACGCACGCACACACACACGCATGCACACACACGCACACACACAGGCAGGCACACACATGCACACGCACACGCACGCACGCATGCACACACACACCCACGCACACACACAGGCAGGCACACACTATTGTTCTACTGAGAGGTCCAGGTTACCAGGTTAAGATGAAACTGCGCAATGATACCGCCACTTTGCACATGTACATTCAATTCGGTCTCTGTTTACTGTTTAACTGTTATGTCATTAGGAGCAAAGTCACAGGTCAAAGGTATTAATCATCCCCTGTCCATATATATATATATATATATATATATATAGTTTGAGCATGGGAAAGCTACTACAGAGATATTACACACCTATTCCCTCAAGATCTTTGGTCAATCGTTCCCATAGAAGTTCTGCATGCATACACAGCATACACCAATCCTTATAGGCAAATATAATGTAGGGCTTGTATTTGCTCTTTGGTACTATGGTATTCTCATATGTCCTGTGAAAAAAAGGTATATACATTGCATGGATATTGATACTGAATCACTCACTACACAATAATTTTTTATAGATAAGGAATTTCCATACACAGGTTTATCTACAATTAATGGATTACAAAGCAGCTTACACCATATTCATCAAATAATGAAAATTACATCATTTAAGACCATATATAATCAGAAAAAGATGACGTGTCTAATCACGTGAAAATCTGCAGGATGCATCTGTGATTTATTACCTGCAATGAAACCTTAACCAACCCTTAAAAGTTGATGCTCGTCTGACATCTTACCACAGAGTTATTCGTTGTTTGCTGAAAACTGATTCCGTTCCAGCTCCACTCTTGCCAAAACGGAACGTGAACCCAGACCCAGGATGAAACTGGAAAAAGTCTTCGAACGGATCAAAGTCACGAGGAAATCCGCCCCCTCCCCTTCGTTGTGGTGTGTCTTGAGTGTAGCCGAAGTTGTCATAATGCTTCCTTTGTTCGGAATCTGATAGCAACTGAATAAAAGAACTACAGTGAAGTAAAACAGGGAGCTTGTGTAGAATCGCATTGGGCATATTTCTGTAATTCAAGCAGCTCTTGATTTTTGCCATAGCTCTTATATGTTAGCTGCCAAGGCTACTACTAATTACTCCCAATCCAATAAGTTCGTTTAGTACACATCTTGTCGTAGACTGGAAGCGTAGTCTGTAAGATCACACACACAACCAGCCACTACATTTCACTTACGTCAAATTTCCTGCATAATTGCAAAGGGTTTAATAGTAGAGTAAAATAGTAGAGTAGAAAATGTTATAATCTAGTATATTTATGTAAATAACGTCATATCAGGAGCTAATAATGACAAAGGAGTAAGACACCGATTTGGTACAGATTTCACTACATTTTTGTCGTACGAGTTCGATGTGAATAAAAATACAAATGTATACAAATATGAGCTTCTTTTGTTCACTGGTCCTTATTCTATCTTCCCGTAGTATTACAAACCGCGTAGCTTCCTTCGTTTTGACATAATTCGTACTTTTGCACGACATGGTTTTCACGTTAGTTACCGTATTCTGGCGAGGCCAAGCTCCAAATTAGCACACACAGCTACTTGAAGGAGGCGCGCCATGGCTTTTCGGCCGTAGCCTAGTCGAGTTCAGAAAATTCGCCTAGAAATTAAGTTACGTTGCACCCATGCTGGGTTTAAAAATTAAAACTATTTTACATTTAAACTATAGTTAGAATGCCTTGTTTTTATGGTTGAATCCCGCAGTTTTTTTTAAATAAACGCTGTGCTGGTAAAATATCTGAACTACTTCACCCGTGGAGGAATGATGTGTATGAATTGTTATGAGTAAACTGATGCTCCAGCCAATTGTAGCTTTTCGCACATGTGTTTTGCATTAATTGCATAGCAACCGTTAGCTCTAGCCCACGTACAGTTGCCGCTGGCGCTGCCTGAGGCGATCCCTGCAGTGCCTCCATCAAGTAGCTGTGTGTGCGAATTTGGAGCTTGGCATCGCCAGAATATGGTAACTAACGTGAAAACCATGTCGTGCAAAAGTATGAATTATGTCAAAACGAAGGAAGCTACGTGGTTTGTAATACTACCGAAGATAGAATAGTACCAGTGAACAAAAGAAGCTCATGTTTGTATACATTTGTATTTTTATTCACATCGAACTCGTACGACAAAAATGTAGTGAAATCAGTACCAAATCGTGTCTTACTCCTTTGTCATTATTAGCTCCTGGTCATATCTATGCACAAATCAAGCAGAGATTCTGCTACCGTTTCTTGTGACCAACAGCATACATCACATCCCCTGATATAGGCAGTAGATATTTAACCGTATACGGCAGAGTATATCCACTTCCGCTATTTTACCGTACACCACAATTTGATTGGCTAGTATATTTATGATGTCATCGACATTACGTTCGAATCCATCAAGGTTTAGCTATCTAGAAAACTTTTAGGTTCAAATCCCATTTATTTCTACACATTTGTAGCCCCGTTTGATTGTAGAAGCTATTTTCCGGAGAATCCGTTTCCAATACGAAACCAACACATCATACTAACATACATATTATATACACATACATAAATATACTAGCCAATTAGAAGCACTGCATGGTAAAATACGGAAGTGGATATTCTGCCGTATACGGTTAAATATCCACTGGCGAATTATATATGGCACATGTTGGCGAAAAAACTCGCCTTAAATTTGTGCCACAGGTGTGAGGTTACATTTTCGACTGCTACCAATTTTACTCTACTTAAGATCTGCCATCTCTGCAGGAAATTAAGTTTGGCAGGCGGTTGATGAGTGCTATAGTTTATTAGTAGTTAAGCGGCCTGATCGGCTTTGTTTAGCACACTTACAAAAATGAGGGCCTGGGTCCCAAACTAGAAGACTACACCTTATTTTACTTCACCTGATATGCTTCATTTATTGCGATAAACTTGTCCTGTGCTGTTGGATCTTGGTTTTTATCTGGATGCCTAATAAAAAAAAACATTTCAATTTCATTTTAGGACACTGTATTCGTCATTACAAATCGACTTCATGGTAGACCAATGACTAGATTTTCGGTATAAGCAATCTCTATCAAGGCAC